ATTTTATCATTTCTTAAAAGCTTGAAAACAGTGTGATTACATTGGTATACAATAAGAAGATTATTAGTCTTAGCAATATTTCTATGTATGTTGTTAAAAATGGGATGTAATTTAGCATCATTCTTTTTGTTTGGTCCAATCTAGGAGAATGCCATGCTGTGGTTTGGAAGGATGTAATAAGCCTTTCTATTTCCCTTCTTCGGTATCCTTGTTGCTTGGCTATCCTACGAATGTAATGCAACTCCTTTATGGTGTCATGAATGCTTGTGCAATGTGCATAAGCACTTTTAATCCAAGCCCCAAAAGATGACAATTTAATGTGTCTGGGATCGATGTGGGATAATAACGGGCTGAAAGAAGGATTTACGGTATATGTCAGTCCAGATCTCCCCTTGCTTGCAAGTGATGGAAATGTCAAGAAAGTTAACATTAGTGTGGCTCTTTTTGTCAACATGTAGGTATAATTTTTAACTTACACCCTTTATAATGGATAAAGAATTATCAGAATGACATTTTAAAAATGAGTAACTTTGTCATTATTTAATTTGGTGCACGCTTAAAGTCCAGGCCTGGCACATTAACGCGAATCCGTGTAACATACCAGTTAATGGCTATTTCCAGCACACAGTCATGTCGATAATTGTTGGAAAAGGCGTGAAATTTCTAGTAATAACTATATACAAAATTTAGTAAAAATCAAGTAACAATTTATTCAATGTAAATCAATAAGAAATCAACTCGACAAAACTCAAATCAATCTATTTTCTAACTTAACTCTATTCCCCTTTGGAATTTGACAAAAAATTCAAAGACTTAACTTATGTACAATAATTCTTATGAATTAAAGGTCCTAATCGTCACCTCAATATACTAGGAACCTTTTTCCTCAACTCTCAAGACTTTCTCTAATCTTCGATCCACAAATTGAATAACTTCAAAATTGCCTTGAAACTACTTTACTTTATCCTATCGGACACCATTCTCTCTCGTTTGCTGCTACGAAGCTCACCACTTGATCATCTTCACTTGAGGTTCGGTCTTCATACTGTGAGGTGATGTCACAATTCTGAATGAGATCACTCCCCTCATTTACATACTTATTGCTAACAATAAACTTTTCCTATTTGCCTGGCAGTCTATTTTCCGACAATAATTGCTAACCTTTTACATTATTCATTTTGACAATTTTCGGGATGTTTTATTCTTTAAGGTTTAGCAAGTTCCTAAGTTGTGCTTGTGGGGTCTCCCCCCTTTTCTCGGTGCAGACTTACTTTTTTCCGCTCGGGAGTGCAAGTGTGCGCGAGTTTTATCTACGGCACTTTTCTCTCGTCAGCAGTGGCGTACTGTGGGTGTCAGCTGCCCAGGGCAGAGGAAAATTTCGCCTCCCTATTTAGGTATTTCAACTTAAAAGACCAAAATTCAGTTTTGTCACAGAACAAGCAATGAAAAATTCAGTGGTAGTGCAGCGACCTGTTTAAAATAGTTCTACTGGATATTAGTGGTGTATATGAACACGAATGGATCGTACAAGCAAAAGAAAAAAGAAAAAAAAGGTCAACAGGTTTCGCAGGAGCTCTTCGGATGAAAAAGTCACTAGTTCACCCGGCGAGCCGATTCCCGGACTGTCTGGACGATAGCACTATCGTAGGCGTGATGCAAGTATAGATTAGGATGTTTCAAATTTTTACAAGATATTATTATTTATTGTGAAATTTTGCCGCCTCCTAAAAAGTGCCGCTCTGGGCGGGCCGTCCCTGCCGCCCCCACTACGGTACGCCACTGCTCGTCGGTGAGTTGGTTCTCATCTTCTATTTTTAAGTTTCTAAGGTGATTGGTGAGGAAATCTTCATCCTAACAAAACATAAGCCCTAAACAAAAATAGAATGAAAGCAAAAATAAAAGTAACTAAAAATAATGCTCAGACTTGGTTCCTTACAATTGTAGTTGGAAAAATGTTTTCTTTAATGTTTAATTAACAACTAATCTGATCAATTTTATATTTTAATTGCAGTTTAACTGGCATGCGGTAACCCCTGCTTTTATGCAGCATGCCAGTAATTCCACAAAAACATGGTAAAAAGTTTTTAATAATAAATTATTGTAACAGATGGCACCATACATGCAGCTTTAAATGTTGCAGGGAAAGTTAAACAACCCATTTCTGGATTTTATATTGTGAGTTAATTTAAAACTTGTTACATTCTTTAGGCAGCATGAATATTTGCTACCAACTACCTTCGACTACTATAAAAAGATTAGTATTGATAGTTACAGATAGGACACCCTGTGAACTCTTAGAACATTCTGGAATTTATAGTAATCCAATCTTTCAACCTATCCAAAGTTCTGTTTGTTATTACTTCAGGGCAGCATTGAGACAAATAAAAAATCAACTATGTGAACACCAAGGGCAGCATTGAGACAAATAAAAAATCAACTTTGTGAACATCCTTCAACAAAGACTTCATCAGCACTGAACTTGCCAAATACATTTCAGAAGAAGGATATGCCCACATTGAAATGTCGTCACCATACTTAAAAGTATATCTGATCCTAAAAAGCTTTTTTTGAGGAAATCTTGCCCATAAGGCAGTTAAAGCCTATAAACAAACCAATGGAAGATTCTGAATTTGCTCCATTAATTTTATTTATGTATTTTTTTATCTGTTTCATCTTAATTTTTAGTGCCTTTTAAAAAGGAATTTGATTGGATATTTTGAATTATTTCCATTTGGCATGTGAGGGTTTAACAAATTGTTGTTTCAAAACTAACTTCTTGAAGATGACATTTGTGAACATATTGAAAATATTCAAATCTTTGTTATTTATTAAAGTAGATGATTTTAACATTAAATACTGTGATTAATTTTTCTTTATAATATACATAATGGTGTTTGTTATACTAAAGGGATGCTAAGGTTAGACTAATATTATATTTGATTTATAATATAAATCTCTTAGAAAACACAATTTATCAGATTTTGAATTTTGTTTTAACTATTTTTATAAATTTGTTTTTGTTTTAATTTTTTTATTTTTTACACCACTTCTAAGTTTTAGAAATTATACTGATTTGAATAATGTATGACTATAATGTTATAATTGAAATTAAACATATAATTTGAATTATATAAAAGTGTTAATTCATTTACATAAAAATCATGTTAACAGTTAAGTGTTATATAAATGTATATGATTGTCTAGCATACATGCATATACCATTGCAAAGATGAAATAAAGACAGCAAGCATTTTTGTAGTAAGACAGCAAAAGCAAGCATTTTTGTAGTATACTCCACACAAACAGGGGATTTTCATTATTGGGATATAGAAAATGATAACATTGTACAATGAAAGCATATGAAATTTATAAAGGACAAATTTGGTTACAAACTTTTCATGGCAAGAATGAAGTAGAATATTCATTAGAATTTTATGAAAATGATGTGATGAAACACCTTTACAGGAAAATAAATAGGAATGTGGATAAGGGATGCTATAATTCTATCATTTTTTCTCTGTAATCGTTACAAGTAAGTTTTTAAGAATTTTAATACAGAATTTCTATTTCAATACAGCCTTTACATTTTATATCTAAATATGGTATTGCTGTATTACTATTGGATCAGATTCTATATAACATCCTATCAATTTTGCACCAGTGAAGTTTTTCCATTCTTTTCATCTTCATTTGTGTGTGTCTGTCAAATGGGAGATGTTCTTTACTTATTGAACTTGATTTGCAATGAATGATTATATATGTTCATGATACTTTAGTCTACCTAATTTCATGAAGTGTACCTGTATAAACTTTTAAATATATTTATTTAATACATATATATATAAATATCAAGAATACAAAAGCTATACAATTAAAAAGTGATTGCTCCAGCAATGTGTGACAGCAGTTTAACAGTTTAAAAATCTGGATTCCTGTAATATCCAGACTGTTTGAGAGCCCACCTTTATAGTTCATTTTTCTTTGAGTTTGGCATCATGTATGTCTCATTTCTCTGCCTTCTCTCTTTCACCATAGTAGCTTATTCTTGATCATTCTTTTCCTATATGCTTTGTATTTCCTCTTGTGCCATGTCAGCTTCCAAAGAAATGGACTTACACCTCTATCTCCTTGACTTGGAAGGGGGAGGAATATTACCAGATAGTCACAGGTTATCTTTCCAAGTTAAAGCCACTATTAATCACTGCCAGGGTGGTAATAAACTACTAAAAATTAAATTGTTGGACTCTGACCCCATAAATCAGGTTCGTAGTCCATATACATACCTGTAGGATCTTGTGACCCACATCAGTATAATTTTAGTAATCACAAATTTTATTACAGACTGAAAATCTGAAAATATTTGGTAGATTGTATGGCTATATATTTTCATCTTTAGATTAAATATTACTAACACTATAAATTGACATACAAATTACTTTTTAGATAAACTTTTTCTTTTGATCACTGACATATAAATTAATTGTTTTAATACATTTTTGAAGTTATATAATTTTTTTCTTTTCTAATCTAAATTTTTTTTTACAATAAACACCGTATTTGACATTATATTGATGAATATTAAAACTTTCTATAAATATGTTTTGGTTACTGTTTATACATTAAAATTTGATTTTTTATATTTAAACATTTTCTTTTTAATTTGGCAATTTATATGTTAATATTTACAAGATAGTTGTTGTTAATCAAAGATACTTGAAAAATAAAATTCTTAATTGCTTCATTAACTGACATATATTTATTTCAGAATATTCAGATTTTCGTGAATGTGGCATCCTGTCTTTCCGTCCAAGATGTATGCAACGGTTTGCTAGTATTCGAGTTTTTGTTTATACATTAAAATTTGATTTTTTATATTTAAACATTTTCTTTTTAATTTGGCAATTTATATGTTAATATTTACAAGATAGTTGTTGTTAATCAAAGATACTTGAAAAATAAAATTCTTAATTGCTTCATTAACTGACATATATTTATTTCAGAATATTCAGATTTTCGTGAATGTGGCATCCTGTCTTTCCGTCCAAGATGTATGCAACGGTTTGCTAGTATTCGAGTTTTTGTTTTCCTTGCTTGCTTGCTAGTTACATTACAACAAGCTCTTTCTTCAGGTTACTTCAATAGGTTTGTATTTTTAATATGTAAATTGAATATTTGAATATAATTAGTGAAGTTGTATGAAAAATTTAATGATCTTATAACCACAGATTGTATGAAATATGCATGGAACATATAATAAGATCATTTACATTTAGTTTTTAAAAATGTTTTATATTATGATATTAATATTATAAAAGCTTATTAAATATGCATATTTAATAATTCATAAAAATTTTTGATGAATAATATTGAGTTAAATATTTATTTTTAAAAAATTACTTAGCATGCAGACTAGATACAGATTTAATATAGACAAATTTTCTGAACTTTTTGGATAGTAATACATTTTTTTTTAAATGAGATGTAGTTTTAATAGTCTTCAAAATAATTTTTAAAATATATGTTATCTGATAACAATTTTATATATTAAAAAAAGCAAGACAAAACAACATTTCAAATCAAAGAACATCTATTTCATCAATGTGATTTGTGAAAATCATGATATGATCAAAGCCAGTCTTTATTTCTACATTACTAATTATTATGGCAGTCATTTTTTTTAATACACACAGTCATTGATACATTTAAAAATTTTCGTTTAGGACTATTTCTTATCGATTTTACTTTTACTGAGGATGATTGTGGAAATTGATCTCTACATTCATTGTAAATAAATTTTAATAAATAACTTTTAAGTGTTTAGATAGAATTAACTGTGTCACTTGTAAATTTCATTTTAAATAATGAAATCGTGTAAAGTGAAAAGTAAGGCAATAAGTTAACATGTGAATCTCTTTACATGAGACTAAGAAAAACTTGATGTAAACTTTAGAACACACATTTCTATTTGAAAATATTTCATAAATTTTTTAAAGTTTATATATAGAATACTCAAACTTTTTTGATATGTTTATAACTTTAATTGTGTTTACATGTATTATGAATTTGTGTTAATGATAAACATTTAAAATATTTTACATAAACATGATATAATTATTAAGATGAAAAACCTGTCACTGCATCTATCACAGATGGTGATATTTAATATGTAACAATGTTATTTGTTAATATAAGTTCAAGTTCTACAGTATAATAAGTCTAGATAGCATCCAGATATTTTATCAAGACAGATGATAAATATTTTGAATAGCAATATGAAATTTTTCTTTATCACACAAGGGGTTAAGTATTCAATGATATTCAATTTGTTCATCATCTTTAAGTATATAAATAATTTGTCAGTAACACATTTTTGAATGGCATAACTTTTTGATGGATTGAAAATAAAGTTTGACAGTTTCTGGGCAAACAAAAATTTTCAAAAAAAANTCATTTCTCTGCCTTCTCTCTTTCACCATAGTAGCTTATTCTTGATCATTCTTTTCCTATATGCTTTGTATTTCCTCTTGTGCCATGTCAGCTTCCAAAGAAATGGACTTACACCTCTATCTCCTTGACTTGGAAGGGGGAGGAATATTACCAGATAGTCACAGGTTATCTTTCCAAGTTAAAGCCACTATTAATCACTGCCAGGGTGGTAATAAACTACTAAAAATTAAATTGTTGGACTCTGACCCCATAAATCAGGTTTGTAGTCCATATACATACCTGTAGGATCTTGTGACCCACATCAGTATAATTTTAGTAATCACAAATTTTATTACAGACTGAAAATCTGAAAATATTTGGTAGATTGTATGGCTATATATTTTCATCTTTAGATTAAATATTACTAACACTATAAATTGACATACAAATTACTTGTTAGATAAATTTTTTCTTTTGATCAATGACATATAAATTAATTGTTTTAATACATTTTTGAAGATATATAATTTTTTTCTTTTCTAATCTAAATTTTTTTTCACAATAAACACCGTATTTGACATTATATTGATGAATATTAAAACTTTCCATAAATATGTTTTGGTTAAACTGTTTATACATTAAAATTTGATTTTTTATATTTAAACATTTTCTTTTTAATTTGGCAATTTATATGTTAATATTTACAAGATAGTTGTTGTTAATCAAAGATACTTGAAAAATAAAATTCTTAATTGCTTCATTAACTGACATATATTTATTTCAGAATATTCAGATTTTCGTGAATGTGGCATCCTGTCTTTCCGTCCAAGATGTATGCAACGGTTTGCTAGTATTCGAGTTTTTGTTTTCCTTGCTTGCTTGCTAGTTACATTACAACAAGCTCTTTCTTCAGGTTACTTCAATAGGTTTGTATTTTTAATATGTAAATTGAATATTTGAATATAATTAGTGAAGTTGTATGAAAAATTTAATGATCTTATAACCACAGATTGTATGAAATATGCATGGAACATATAATAAGATCATTTACATTTAGTTTTTAAAAATGTTTTATATTATGATATTAATATTATAAAAGCTTATTAAATATGCATATTTAATAATTCATAAAAATTTTTGATGAATAATATTGAGTTAAATATTTATTTTTAAAAAATTACTTAGCATGCAGACTAGATACAGATTTAATATAGACAAATTTTCTGAACTTTTTGGATAGTAATACATTTTTTTTTAAATGAGATGTAGTTTTAATAGTCTTCAAAATAATTTTTAAAATATATGTTATCTGATAACAATTTTATATATTAAAAAAAGCAAGACAAAACAACATTTCAAATCAAAGAACATCTATTTCATCAATGTGATTTGTGAAAATCATGATATGATCAAAGCCAGTCTTTATTTCTACATTACTAATTATTATGGCAGTCATTTTTTTTAATACACACAGTCATTGATACATTTAAAAATTTTCGTTTAGGACTATTTCTTATCGATTTTACTTTTACTGAGGATGATTGTGGAAATTGATCTCTACATTCATTGTAAATAAATTTTAATAAATAACTTTTAAGTGTTTAGATAGAATTAACTGTGTCACTTGTAAATTTCATTTTAAATAATGAAATCGTGTAAAGTGAAAAGTAAGGCAATAAGTTAACATGTGAATCTCTTTACATGAGACTAAGAAAAACTTGATGTAAACTTTAGAACACACATTTCTATTTGAAAATATTTCATAAATTTTTTAAAGTTTATATATAGAATACTCAAACTTTTTTGATATGTTTATAAATTTAATTGTGTTTACATGTATTATGAATTTGTGTTAATGATAAACATTTAAAATATTTTACATAAACATGATATAATTATTAAGATGAAAAACCTGTCACTGCATCTATCACAGATGGTGATATTTAATATGTAACAATGTTATTTGTTAATATAAGTTCAAGTTCTACAGTATAATAAGTCTAGATAGCATCCAGATATTTTATCAAGACAGATGATAAATATTTTGAATAGCAATATGAAATTTTTCTTTATCACACAAGGGGTTAAGTATTCAATGATATTCAATTTGTTCATCATCTTTAAGTATATAAATAATTTGTCAGTAACACATTTTTGAATGGCATAACTTTTTGATGGATTGAAAATAAAGTTTGACAGTTTCTGGGCAAACAAAAATTTTCAAAAAAAAAAAAAAAATATAATTTTAAGTAGAGGAGCTTTTCTGAAAAATCAATGTAACTTGTTAACCTGAGTGTAACATACTCAAATATTATTAGTCTAAAATGTTTTGACTGATTTGTCTGTCTTATGTATGTACATTTTTCTTGAAGATGGAAAGAAAAATATGCATGGTAAAGGTTTGCATTTATAAATATTTATACAAATATATTTAAATATAAATACATTTATATAGCCATGTATGTGTTATTAAGATTTTGTTATCTTGAAAATGCAAATTATTTAATATTGACATAACTTTTTGCTAATTAATAAATTTGATGTAATGGAAAATAAATAGAAAAGAAAAATAAAACTATTTAAAGTAAATATATTTAATTATAAATAATTCAAAAGTTCCGAAAATTTAATAATTACAAAACTAATTTTGAAGTAATTACATTACAAAGACCAAATATGAAGAGAAATAATTTATTATTTAATTAATATCAGTATTAATTTGATAACAGTATAAATTGAATTTAAAAAAAATTAATATTCTGTAATTATTTTAGTGTTATTACTACAATAGAAAAAAGGTTTGATATCTCTAGTCGAACTTCAGGAGCAATTGCTAGCACATTTGAAATTGGAAATTTGTTGACCATTATTTTTGTTAGTTATCTTGGAAGTCATCGACACATTCCTGTATGGATAGGCAAAGGTAATTTTTAATTTAAATATTAAACCAGAATCTTTTAAATTTAAAAATTTTATATTAACATTTTATTTAATAATTTAAATTATTCTCTATATCAGATTTGAATTTAATATATATCACACTTGCTATAGAATATTAAATCTTTCTAAGTTTAAACATTTTTTATAAATATGTCATTTAAAATTTAATTTTCCAGATGTTATAACAGAAGGAAAGTATGGTGATCAGTCAAAATATGACCCCCAAGATTATTACATTTTTAGACTCAGGACCTTGAAATGTTGAAAAATGTAAAAAAAATTTGGGTTTTTTTCCCTGAATGTTTGGGGGGGTGTGTGTTGGGGGGGCATGATTTTGTTCTCCCACTTTGAAGCTTAATAATTCCTATGCCTTTTGTCAAATTTTTGAAATTATGCAGGAAAGTTCGTGTATTAGGGGATTAATACTATTAGATTTTGGTGGTTAAAGGTTGAGGGTTATAGAGGGGTCATGTGTCATATCTTAAGTGGAGTTGGATTTTACTCATTATTAACATTTACAGTTCTTTGTAAAACTCATCTCTNCAAAAGTTCCGAAAATTTAATAATTACAAAACTAATTTTGAAGTAATTACATTACAAAGACCAAATATGAAGAGAAATAATTTATTATTTAATTAATATCAGTATTAATTTGATAACAGTATAAATTGAATTTAAAAAAAATTAATATTCTGTAATTATTTTAGTGTTATTACTACAATAGAAAAAAGGTTTGATATCTCTAGTCGAACTTCAGGAGCAATTGCTAGCACATTTGAAATTGGAAATTTGTTGACCATTATTTTTGTTAGTTATCTTGGAAGTCATCGACACATTCCTGTATGGATAGGCAAAGGTAATTTTTAATTTAAATATTAAACCAGAATCTTTTAAATTTAAAAATTTTATATTAACATTTTATTTAATAATTTAAATTATTCTCTATATCAGATTTGAATTTAATATATATCACACTTGCTATAGAATATTAAATCTTTCTAAGTTTAAACATTTTTTATAAATATGTCATTTAAAATTTAATTTTCCAGATGTTATAACAGAAGGAAAGTATGGTGATCAGTCAAAATATGACCCCCAAGATTATTACATTTTTAGACTCAGGACCTTGAAATGTTGAAAAATGTAAAAAAAATTTGGGGTTTTTTCCCTGAATGTGTGTGTGTGTGTGTGTGTGTGTTGGGGGGCATGATTTTGTTCTCCCACTTTGAAGCTTAATAATTCCTATGCCTTTTGTCAAATTTTTGAAATTATGCAGGAAAGTTTGTGTATTAGGGGATTAATACTATTAGATTTTGGTGGTTAAAGGTTGAGGGTGATAGAGGGGGCATGTGTCATATCTTAAGTGGAGTTGGATTTTACTCATTATTAACATTTACAGTTCTTTGTAAAATTCATCTCTAATTTCAAAATTAAGCCTGTTCCCATTTTATTATAAAATTAATAATAAAAAAAGCTTTTTAATAAAATAAAACAGATGGCATCACATGCAATTTTAAATATTTTTGCTGGGAAAATTACACACTTGTTGCTGGTTTTTTTAATTGTAGTTAATAACATAGATTGAAAGCAAATATTAAAATGATATGCGTAAACCCAGGCCATTAAATTAGTAATATTTCAAAAGATATTTATAAGTTTTAACGTGTTGTGCTGAAGTTTTTAATCATATTTTTAATTTATTTAATTTAAAATATGGTCTCTTCACCTCAAATTAGTAGTGTCTTTTCCCTGTACATCATGCTTTTCTGTTAGCAATGGAGTTGTGCTAGTCATCTATTTAACTCCTTTCAGAGAAAAAGTTTTGAATTGAAATAATGTGACTTTCAGTGCAAATTGGTAGTTCATTTATAGTTAATTGGGATCTCCTGCCCCTAAGGTTTCCATATCTGGTCTTGAATTTCATTATCTAACACTGTTCTTGAGATTAAGAAAAGATAGATAAAGGGACGACAGCGGGAATTTATAGGTCTACAATTTTTTAAAATTGCAGCCCAATGCATGAAATTAAAATGTTGGTTAAATTATTTTAATAATTATATAAAAATAATTATAAAATTAATGAAAATTAATTCTAAATTTGAGAACATACACAAGTATAACAGATCAGATTCTTGTTTAATAATGAATTTTTATTGAAATAACACATTTTTGACTATAATAAAATATCAGATTGATTAGTTTTAGTATAAAAGAATAGAATCCATTCACAGACTTAATAAAATTTATAATTAAATACTTTTTTAAAAGCAAGTGTTAAAATAACTTTTTCAGGCTTTGAAGGAATAAAGGAAAGGTCATCAGATTATTAGGATTTTAATAATTAAAATTTATTTAATAATCTTTATTTTATTAAAATAATCAGTCTGATTATGGCTTTTTAATACAGTCAAAAATGGTTATTACTTAGTTTTATAAACATATTAAATATAACTTTCATTTATTTCAAAATAAACAAAGTAAGTTGAAATAATAAAAAAAGAATGACTTCTTAATTTATGATTTAGTAAAAGAAAATACAAGAAAGAAAACTGTAGTTTAAGAAATTAAAGGATCTTGTAGAAATAAATAAATAAATAAATAAATAAATAGCTTCAATTGTTAAGAATTAAGGTATATTTTAATTATATTATTAGAATACTATGAAATTCATGCTTTATTTCATTGTGGAAAAATTTGTACTTCATACAACTAGTGTGTTTATTATGACACAACTTTCAAATTATTCCCATCCAAATGGATTATCCTGTAAAATGTTGAAAATAGAATTCATGCACTAAACTGTAATGGAATTATTCAGCATAATTATTTTGTATACTGTCATACTCTTAGTTGAAAATAGGAAGATATTCCTTGATTTTGAAAATTATTTGGGCTGAAAAATTCTTCCAAACTCACATTATTCAAAATCAGTTTTATCTTTAAGTTAGTAATGAACACACACATTATGTATATATATTATATAAACACAAAAATATATAAGACAATAATAGAAATATCAATATAAAGTTAATCATGTGTAAAGTTGCATTCAGTACCAAACTGAAATATCATAATCAGAAATTTTTTAATGATTATTTTTTTGTTTGTATCAAACACTTAAATCTATCAAAAATAAAACTTAACAGCTTAGTGAGTAATTTTAGATTGTATCTATTTCACTATAAAGAAATATTTTATAAATTTGATAAGGTAAATATTTTTTTAAATTTAACTTGAATATTTGTAACTAAACACAATTCTGTTACATTAATACTTTTTTTAATAATTAATGCTACACAACTTGATGTTAGCTTCTAATTTTCTTGAAAAGAATCTTAAAAAAGAATCTTTTCTTTTTTAAGATTCTTTTTAAGTAAAAGATTCTTTTCTTGAAAAGAATCTTTTACTAACATGACAAAAATACTTTTAGGTTTAGCTCAGTGTCCACTTGATAATTGCACAGAGGAACAAATTTAATTTTTAACTATTCATTTATTTAATTTTTTAATCCAAAAAATNAATTTTTCTAGATCACAATTGTAGTTTCTCATATTTCATTCTAATTGTAACAAAAATAATTTTAAAAAATTTCCTGATATGATTTTAATAATTTAAAAGAAATTTTGTAAAAAGTTTTTTAAAAAACAACAATGAATTTAAGAAGGAATATTAATTTAAATGTGTCCAGATAGTTTGTTAGGTTCTTATAGAAATTTCAATCATCAGCTTTCTTCCAGGTTGTATTTATGTACATGTGTGTTAGGCTCAAAGACTGAAATCGCTCATTGAGCGAAAAAAATGGCCACAATGCATTGTGGCTAACTCAAAACAACCACAAAGCAAAATTCGCATCGTGGCTTTTATGATATTTGACCACTACGCGTTGTGGTGATTAAGAAAAGCCATAATGTGTTCTGAACATTAGCTGATGCAACCACGATACGAATGATAGATTTGTAACTTGTCAATGGGTGCATTGCAAATACTTGCGGAGTTTGTATTGTGTTCATTCTTGACCAGTGTTGCCATTTCTAGAATAATTTCAACCTCTCGGAGTAATGTTTCGGTTAGTCTTATATTTAGGATAAATCTAGGGTAAAACTATCCTGTGTTCTGGTGCTATTACTCATCGTTCCAAGTTTTAGCTTAAAACAATTCTGTTTATCCCTGTAAATGGAGGGTTTTAGGATAGGACAACAGAAGCTAAAGAAATAATGCAGATTGATGCTAGGTACAGTACATGGGTATACACTGTACAGTGATACTTCAGTTCTCGTTCATAATCCATCTGAAAAAATTGGAAAAATCCAAAACCAATGATAACCAAAGTCAACGAAAACCAAAGTATTACTGTATATTACACCCAAGTACGATTTTGTTTTTTTAACATTCATGCCATTGAGCCATTGGCACTCTCCATATTAGATGTAAATTAATACCTCAGATAAAGCCTAAAAATCCTAAGACATTTTAGTTATTAAAATTTTCAAAAACAATGAATTAAGAATTGTTCTGATTATTATTTCACAATAATAGTACAGGGATCTGCATCATAGAATCGTTCGTCTTATTTTTTTTTTTTATTCAAGCTTGATCTTGAGCTCAGAGTTTTCTCAATTTAGGGTAATTTTCTGCAGTTGAAATTGGTTTGATTGTTTTAGTTAGGGTGCTTAATTTTGATAGGGGACATGCAGCTCCCAGAAATGTTTTAGCTGTTGTTATGAGCATTAATCCATCAAGTCTCTATCAGTTAGGAAACAAGGAAAGTCTTCTTGATCGACTTTATGCACGTAATGAATTTAAAATTTCTGAGAGAACTTTATTAACATTTAGGACGTACCCTCAACTTTATTAACACTTCGCTCAGCGTCCATGTTAACATCTGGAAGTATAGCAAGTTTATAATATGTCACTGTAAAAGATACTGTACTGATAAAAATGCAAATGTCGCTCAAAGAACATAAAACGCATGAATAATTAAATGATGTTGTAAAGTAACCAAGTTAAATTTCTGTATATGATGAATAATTTTGTTACCTGCTTATATAAGATGATTGAATATAAAAAAACTTTCTTTTTCATTATGATTTAATTTTCTTATCATCACCTCGTTATTAGTTAACATCCAGAACATGTGGTGGCTTTTAACCATAATAAATCTGTTGCACAGTGGTTTTTAACTTTAGCAGCTGATTTTTATTTTATTGTATATCAAGCACCTACAAGTATATGTAGTTAGACCTTTAGCACTTTTTAGCAAAACAAACAAAAAAATGTGTATTTTTCTCCATATAATTTTATTTCTTTGAAATTTTTTTAAGTATGAAAATTAAACTTCTAGGAAAACTTGTAGAACTAATGTTGTTCGGCATTAAAAATTGTAAGTAAAAATGTTTTGAGCCTAGAATCTATATTTTAAAGTTACAAACCACTGCATCATATGATCCTGTATCGTGGTTGCATCAGCTAACGTTCAGAATGCGTTATGACTTTTCTTAATCACCACAATGCATAATGGTCAAATATCATGAAAGCCATGACACGAATTTCGCTTTGTGGTCATTTTGAGTTAGCCATTTTTATAACTGCTGCGAGTTAGCATTTTTATAACGCATTGTGGCCATTTTTATAACTGCTGTGACGAGAATTTCGCGTTGTGGTAATTTTTTTTGCTCATTGAGCAATTTTGGTCTTTGAGCCTAACATATGTATAGTTAGAAATTAATTAATTTTGAAAGTTGGTATAGAAGCAGATGCAGTCAATTGTAAAAATTGTAATAACAAGATTTAATTTTAAATTTTATAAATTGTTTTAAGTATATAAAAATACTAAATCATGTATATATGAATTGATTATGATTATTTTTTTTTATAGGTATAATTGTAATGGGTATTGGATCATTGGTTTTTGCACTACCTTATTTTCTTGACCAAACTGCATCTTCATTGAATTGGAAAAAGCAAAATCTCTCTTATTTTGATGAGAACACTTGTCATATGGCTACTGCTTCTGTACAGTCACTTTCTGCAGGTCATCCCAGGTGAGAAGTTTTGATTATTCCACTAAATCAGTGATTCCCAAACTTTTTTTGAGCCACCATTCCTTGGTTTCATAAACTTACACCCAATGCTCTCACTCTCTTAGTGCACACATGGTAGAAAAAATATATGAATATGAATCAATTTTAAAATAAAATAATAATGATATTGAATACCTATTGTAAAAAATAAAATAAAATTCAGAAAACTCACATTTGTATTTTGTACATTTGAGAAATTTATCTATTTTTGATTAGATTTGCAATTATTTTCTTCAATAATATAAAAATGATTTTGTTATTTGTAATTTGAACCGTCAACAAATTCTAGGAAAAATTGTAGAAAAAAGTTATTTAAACTTTTTAAATTAATAATTATACTATAGGATAAACATAGCAATAAATAAATGACTTGGATGTGACAAGTTAATTATTGACACTGAAGAATGAATTGAATTATAACAGAAATTTCTATTAAGAAAACTTAACAGGAATTAATTATAATAATAATAAATGATGATTGCAAAATGAGGGAAAGTTCTGTGGGAGTTACATTTAATTAAATGTTTCAAGCTCAATTATCATAGAATATTAGTTTCTTGAATATTTAATTCAGCTTCATGAATAAAAAACTCATAATGGTAAGAGGTATTAAATTTAAAAAGCAGTACAAAAATATGTTACTTGCAAATATGTAATGTATTTTGTTTTTAGGTAAAAAAATAATAAAATAAGTTGAAAATGGATTGGGGGGAAAAATCCATTTTCTCCCCCAAAAATAAATTAAAACACAAAAATCGTAAATAAAATATGTAAATACTGTATAATAAATGAAAATTGCATTTACTGGTCGCACACTGGATTTTGGCATCTTAACATAGATGTATGATTTAAATATAACAGTTACGAAATATAATAATTATAGATAATGTGAGATTTTATTCTTTGTTTAGAAGCTTACTTTAAACTTTTCACTTCACATTTTGTTTGAAAAATCAAGTTATAATGTCTTTGGATAAAAAGCATATTAAGCATATTATGCTTTGAGTTTTGAAAAGGATGTAACACCATACAAACAGTAAAAAAATTTCATATTGTATATGAGAAAGATGCTCCTAAACTTTGAACATATTAAATGTGGTTTAAAAAGTTCTGTTTGAAAATTTTGAAATAAAGGATACAAAATGTTGGGGGAGTCCAAAAGATATCAACAAAGAAAATTGCAGGAAGAAATTGCTAAAAATTGACAAATAGCACATAATACAGTATAAATAACCATAAAAAATAAAGCAAAAAAAGCACTGAAAACATATGAGCATAAGGTAAAAGCAGGAGACCACTTGGACACACAATAGATTGCATTATGCTTCAAATGCATTTTTACATTGCATATGCAATTTGAAACTCCAAATTTTTGTCAAATTTTGCATTTGAATGCATCTGAAGTTAAAGTTGTTCAAAGTACCAAGGCACATGTTTATTTAATTATTAATTCTATATAAAATTTGCTTTAAAACTGAAGATAAATAATACAGGAAGTAAATTTATACATATACATATAAATAGAATTATTTGATAAGAAATGCTAAATTATAAATACCATATTATCTGAATTGTTGCCTAGTTATAGACAAGATAGTTCAAACTCTAGTTTTCACTAAACATGGCAATGTATCTATCCTGAGCTTGGCACATTATTACAGATTATTAGACTCATTGTCTTAGGCTGCTGAAAAAGGTACAGTGCCTTTAAAATGCAATAGTGTGTAAATATAAACAAAATCATATGCAAAGATAATGGTTAGAGCTATAAGCAGTATTGCACAACTTATCAAAAACCAGCAAAGTCAACTTTTCATCCATATACGATACAATGGACATTGTCAGGTTCAATTAAAAGAATATAGAATTAGAACACTAAGATGAAAGCTGGAACAGAATGTTTTAATTTAAAAAAAAAATTTTTTATTTTATTTTGGGGTCTTTTGATTTTGCTGGTTTTTTGGTATGTTGCATACCTCTGTGAAAATGTACAGATTACCTGCCCCAAAATTTCCTATCAAAAATACTAAACCTCTCCACTAAATTTCCCTCAGTCACTTTAATTTTCCACTAAATTTAGTGGGGAATTCACTAACTTGTAACACTGATTATATTGGTGATGGCAGCATGGTCAGATGGCATAATAGCAGAAAACAATTGAAAATTTTTTAGAAGAATTGGTGATTAATTTGAAAACTCTAATATACAATAACATATAATTGCTTCATATTTTATTGCTATTCTACGTATGCTTTTGATTAATACAATATATTAATATCATGCAAATAAACAAATGTTTTCTTTCTGAATAATTAACTATTTAATTCATCTTACTTCCAATAATCCAGCAATCTTCTTAATCTGACACTGTTCTAGTCCCATATATGTTGGATTACTGAGATAGTACTATACTTTTAATTTAATTTCTGATGAGATTTTGTTTGTTCAGATAAAAAATAAATATTTTATGACAAAATTTNTATGATACGGTGTTAATGAATGGGTATTCTACATGAATCACCCTGTATTTGTAATAAAATTAAAATTTTAAAATTTTTATTTTTATTAATATGTGCTTTAAAATTACAAATTAATGACAACTTTATTGGCAATTAGGCCAAATTGAAATCATCCAAAATAAGTTTTTATAGTTTTATTTTGAAACCAAAATTGAAATAAGACAAACACATGCTTTTTGAAATATGTATATTAGAGAAGAGTTTTTTTCCTTTTACAAATTTATAATGCAGGTAATTTTATATATATTAAAATCTCTATTACCTTTTTAAACAAAAATATTGATTCCTAATCTTTCTTGATACGTTTTTTAGCCACTTTTTGAATCCACCAGCTGCTGAAACCGATCCAAAGTTATGTATTGAAGGCAGGTCCTCCAATGTACTGTATATAATGATATTTATGCTAGCTCAAATATTGATTGGTTGTGGAGGCTCACCAATTTTTACTCTAGGAATAACATACATTGATGATCATGTTAAGAAAGAAAGTTCCTCACTCTATATAGGTCAGTATATTTAAAGTTATGATTTTGATTAATGTTTACTATGATTTCACTGTGATTAAATTTGTTACTATATGTAATTGAAATCAAAGTTTTGAAATTTAAAAATAAATGAAAAAGTGAAAATAATATTGAAAAATTACAACAAATGTTTCATGGAAATTATTTGTTGTATTTCTTCAAGTTTTACTCCTTAATGAACACTTTTTAATCATCATTTTTCTTAAGAACAAATTGAAAAAAAAAATTAGAAAAATTTTCAAATGGTTGTTACAAAATTAATAATAAAATAAGCTTTTGAGTAAAAAATGCTTTACTAATTAATATAAAATTCATTTTCTGTTTGTATAGTATAACAATTTATTACACAAGGTGATTCATATAGAACACTCAAATTATTGAAACCTATAATTCGTAAATGCATAGACTAAATGAAATTAAAATAGTGTGAAACATCCCCAGAATCAAGGTGAATGTAGTGTTTGAAATGCTGCTGTAGTCCTACACTAGACACAGTTGCCATAACATTCCATATTACTTCAGTTCACCACAGAATGTTTGTTAGAATATTGACAACCTCTAGTTGGTGTTGTTTCAGAGTTTCTATTTTGCAAGGTTTATTTCTATACATTGTCTTTCAAAATCTCTGAAATCTGGAAATATAAAGTCTGATGATTGAGAAATCTACAGGTTTTTGAGATGTTTTAGAAGAAACTATGGATAACTCATGTAGATTCCTGTGACATGTGCAATGTTTACTCCATCCTGTTAGAAATAGCCTTGTATTATTATATTGTTGTCCAGCTGTTTCACAAATTTAGTGAAGGTTAAGATGGGTAAGCAAAACATAGGACCAATGATTCTTTTAGTTGTGATTTTGCATTGTATGCTGATTTTTTTTTGGCAATAATACTGTTTCATTATTGTGTGCAAATTTATGTCACATCAGATTCTCAAATTTTGAGAACTTATATATCTAAAGAATAGAAAAATGTTTCATCTGTACTGTGGTGGCTGATGCACCACTTGAGTGTTTGTTGATTTTATAAAATAACCAAAGCTTTATATCTCACTATGAAAATTTATTTATAATCATGTACAAAATTTTGTTTTACACTTATTGAGTTAAGCTCAATCAGTTACAAGCATGCATCGGTACAGAACATTCATTCATTGTGCATAGTGTAGCCGAGAGAGAGAAAAAGAATATGGTGGATGACCTACATGTTTTTATAGTGCCACCTGGATTTTCAGATTCAGTGCGAGGTTACATTTATTCGGCTGTCACATGTACCATTTGATTTAGAGTATGGATTATCATGAACAAATTTCTGGAATCATTTACAGCACTGAATTCTCTTTTCCTTGTCTAGTTCTTGCAATTAGTGTAAGGCTGTTATTCTGTGTAGCTCTATTTTTGTCTTCTTGGTAGACTGTTCACAAATGTATGAATACCTGATTTCCTTATATGTAATGATTTATTCAAGACATAACTTCTGTTCTGTTATACATTGTCTCTTCATACATTGGTTACCAAAGTTTACTGTGTTTGTCCAAAATAGAACTTGTCTTTCTTAACTTCTTGGCCAATTGACATGTCATTTTCTCTAGAATGTCTGTCACCGAACATCCATATAACAATATTCCAGCAGTTTTCACCAAGAACATATACACTCCTACAGAGGAGAGCAACGTGTCATAAACAACCATGAGATGCCTTGTTTTAAGAAAATGATTACTACTCAATACCCACCTAAATCAAAAGTGGCAAATTACACATGCATGTAGTAGGGATGTGGAAAGGCAATATTTATATAGCAAGTTTGATCTGCTTTTGATCACACATGTTTTATAATTGCCATTGGGTTGAAAATTTCTAAAAGTATCATTTCATATGAAGTACTGTACATTTAAGCTCTAAGGTGTCCTAATTTATTTCTCAGCATTTATTTGATATAAATATGATACGGTGTTAATGAATGGGTATTCTACATGAATCACCCTGTATTTGTAATAAAATTAAAATTTTAAAATTTTTATTTTTATTAATATGTGCTTTAAAATTACAAATTAATGACAACTTTATTGGCAATTAGGCCAAATTGAAATCATCCAAAATAAGTTTTTATAGTTTTATTTTGAAACCAAAATTGAAATAAGACAAACACATGCTTTTTGAAATATGTATATTAGAGAAGAGTTTTTTTCCTTTTACAAATTTATAATGCAGGTAATTTTATATCTAAATGAATAAATCATGTTTTATTATGAATAAATATATCCAAAGTATATTTTATTCAATATCTCATATTAATCAAATATTCAATTTTATTTAATGTTTTATAATTATTTTTTATCAGATAATATATACATATAAATGTAATTAATTGATAGAAACATCAAAATTGCAGTTGGGTTTAAAATTTCTAAAAGTATCATTTCATATGAGGTACATTCAAGTTCTAAGATGTCCTAATTAATTTTTAGAATTTATTTGATATAAACATAAAGCACACTTTATTTTTCTGTACAGTACTCCTGTAATGTAACACAACTTACATATCTTTGATTTTATGACTGAAAGTCAGCTAAAAATGCTTATTTGTTGGTATATTCTGTCCACTAATAAATGGCATAAATAAATAATTGTTGATTGACTTGAAAACAATTGACCATGAAGAGCATGTAGCCTGTTGAAAAGGAAAAATCCAAAATTTACTTCGTAGACATGAGTAGGAAGTAATAAGATGATTCTTGCTTCAAGTCATCCCATGCAAAAGCAGATATTATAATGTGCTGTTCTTGAAATAAGAATATTGGCATTATCAATTTTACAAATAGGTCAAAGTAAAAGTGTTTCTAGATAAGATATGCAATGGGACAAAGGTCGGACACTAACTAACTGACCTTATTTAATATAGCTATTCTCCTCATGTATCCTAGTTATTGCATGAAAGTAAAAAGACACATTAGAATTTGAATGCATCATGANGTAAAATTAACAATACGATTACTCACTAAATTTCTTAAATGAGGGGTACAATCTAGAGATATGACATGTCACGGGGTACGCTAATGAAAAAAGGTTGGGAACCACTGTTCTACAGTATTATTTTACATTGTTAGAAAGAAGACAGAATGAAGAAATTAAACATATTGTAGTTTTGGATGTGATTCTGACAGTTTCACAGTTTTAGAATAAAAACTCATGCCTTTTTACATGTGTAACTCATTTGTTTATTTAATACATTCTCTAGAAAGAGATAGTATAACCTCACTTAAACCTGCATTCCCTGAGAAAAACTGGCATGCCAGTTTTTATCATATGGAAATATATGATTTTATGGTTTCCCAGATATATTGACATATCAGACAATATTCAAAAATACATTATATAAGGATCAGGTGTATTTTTGTTTACCATGATTCCTAGTTCAGTTTTGGTTGCTTATCACTATAACAGTTGTTAATATTGACAAGAATAAACTATCTTGCTTCTGACACATGGAAATATATTAATATTTGTAAGAAAAACTAGAAGTATATTAGAAAGAGATGCAAGTTGTTTCATTTAATTATATATTTTTATGGAACATAGTTAATTACTGTAATTTATGTCTTGAGTTTTCATGTTTTTTGCTATAATATCTTTTAAGAATGTCTAAGAATATTTTTGTATTGTTAATGTTTTCTGATTGACTATTAAAATGTTCTAAGAACCTATTTGACACAATTTTAAAGTGCACAAAAATCAATTATTAAATAACAGATTAGCTACAGATATTTATTATTATTATTAATTTTTAGNTAATAAAACTTTCTCCAAGTTTTATTATGTGTAATAAATTTAGCTGCGATGAAGTTAGAAAAGTTTAATTTAACGAATTTAATATTTTATGCCTTATATAATCATTGTATAATTGGATAGAATATTATATTATTTATATCACGTATACAAATACATAATAATAAGTCTGTCATGTTAAATTTTCCTAAATTCCTGAAAATGTATCTTATTGTTAATAAAAAAAATTTGCTCTAATGATGTGTCTAATATCATTAAATAAGAAAAGTATATTCATCAAACATTTATCAATAGAAGCTTAATTACTTTAAGCAATTTATTAAATTAAATATGTTAAATGATCAAAGTAAATACATCCGTTACAAATATTTGAAAATAATTATCTACAGCCAAACCTCTGAAAAGTGTCAAAGACAAAAAAATAAAAAAATATTATAAATACAGGTAATTTACGGAAAACAAGAGACAATCACCTACTATAGCAGGATAAACAACTTTGTTTAGATGACTACCTTTTACAACTGTATTAGAAACAACCGCAGATTGCCATTAGTAATTTTTTTATTTTTTAAAGGGTGTATGTATAGTATGGTAGCATTTGGTTTGGTTTGTGGATTTCTGCTAGGAGGATATCTGCTTTCTGTCCATGAAAATTCCATCCTTTTCAATACAGTACCTCCTGGTATCTATCCTGGTCACCCAAGGTGGGTAGGAGCTTGGTGGGCCGGATTTGTGATCTATGGATTATTGTTAATGCTAGTAAGTATCATATATAATAATAATGGTTGCATCTCTCTTGGTACTGTAATACCAGTAAAACTATAAAATCTGAAATAATTACTTTTCTTAAAGAAAAAAATAATTTCTATGTGACTTTTTTAGTTTAAATTATTGATGATTGTTTACTTCAGTAACTTGTTTTTTTACTAAAGATATGAAAAAAAAAATTAGTTTTTCTCTTGTGCTTTTAATATATTAAAGAAATATGTTTTTAATGCCTTTATTCTTATTCATTCAATAATTTTTTATTTGTAAATTGTCTTTTCTTAATAACATTTGTAAACCAAGTTGTTCACAATTTCCCTATGAGGGAATCTTTATATTTCAATAAATATTCAAAAATTATTCAATTTAGGTAACGATTAATATTATCAATATTATAAAATAAAAATATAATTACTAAATTATATTTAAATAATTAATATATCTGATAATGAACTGAATAAAATGAATGATAATAATACAGGTAACCCCCGTATAACACGGCACTTCTATAGTACGGATTCACTCTAACACGGTTTGAGAATTGGTACCATCCCCCGTATAACACGGTACTTTTATAGCACGGATTCACTCTGACACGGTTCGAGAATTGGGTAAAACCCTCGTACAACAGGAAATGTAATAAATTTTTACATACTTAAGTAATAATAGTTCACGAAAATTATTATTTTCG